CTGAAACTCGCCGGAAAAACGAGATCCACCATCTCGTCGGATTAACGAGTTCCAGACGTGCCGCTGCTAGCCTCTAACCCGCCGCAAAACTCCAGTAACCGGCGATCATTTGTGACGCTACAGTTATCGCCATTTTCATTCTCTCCCAGCTCGCTGCATAAGTTCGCAACTTTGAGTCTCTCAAGGAGCTCATTTGTTAAACATGTCCGAAGCTCCGTTCATTGTTGCTTGTTTCGTTCTGGTCATAGTTCCGTCGAGGTCGTCGAAAAATGTTCCGGTCAGTTGGTTTCTTTCTCTGCTATTTGGCTTTCATTTTTTCATGGATTCAGAAGCTGGATCTAGCTTCATTTTGATTGTTGTTGTTCATCAAGATAAATGTTTCTCTATTGAAAATTTCGATCCTTATAACTTTGACTCATTGAAAATTACTTGGAGTACAATGGTCACTCTTATCTTTTAATGGTTGTTAAGTTGTGTACGTATTTGTCCCTATGAAGTTTCATGTCATTCCAACAAATTGATAATAGAGGTATATAATGTGCTTTCTATAAAAATGATTCAGTTTAAATTAGTGGGTTCTTTTTCTGCTGGATTATCTTTTTGTTATTCAAATATCCTTAAGTTGCATGCTTTGATCAAATTACGGTTAATGGACAGGTCGATTTTATATTGTGATTTTAAACAACAGATTTCTAGCTTTTTCTTTTAGTCGATGGTGCAATGGTTGTTGATACATAGTTGACGTTGACTAATCATGCTCAATAACAATGTTATATGATGGCTACTCGTAAAACTGGTCCTTACAACAAATTTCAGAGTAGATCGGAAAATAATTAAATGCGCTAGTTGCTTTAGGCGTTAATTAAATAATTATCATGGCTACGGGTATGGTTCCCATAACGTAGTGGTGATTTGTAAATACTAAATTCGGGTGTGCATTTCATGTGACCCGATCCAAATCTCAACGATGTTAAAATATGTCAAGACCACGGGCGCCTTTATGTGACGTGGTTCGAGATGTGTTTTAATAACGTTGCAATTTTCTCTAAAAAATGAAATAAAGCGGTTAAAAGTTAAAATGCACATAGGTTCATAATTGTTTAAAATCAGATAATTAAGCCAAATATAGCAGTTGAGCGACCGTGCTAGAACCACGGAACTCGGGAATGCCTAACACCTTCTCCCGGGTTAACAGAATTCCTTACCCGGATTTCTGGTTCGCGGACTGTTAAACAGAGTCAACCCTTTCCTCGACTCGGGATTTGAACCGGTGACTTGGGACACCATAAATCTCCCAAGTGGCGACTCTGAATCTTTTAAAATAAATCCTGTTTCGATTGTCCTTTAATTGGAAAAACTCCTTTTTATACATCCTTTTCCGGGGGTGTAAGATAAAAAGGAGGTGCGACACTCAACATTGTCTGTTATAGAACCACCTACATTCATTTAAAGATGTAGCCCCCCTCCTCCCCCCACAAAAAGGACGTTAGTATTGTCGAATAGTACTAGTATGTAAAGCTAAAACACCATCTTAATAGCATGAATAATGAAACAAAGGGGAACATTCATGATGTACAATAAGAGATTCAAACGATACTAAAAACATCAAATAGGAATACATAAGTTCTCAAGTCAATTTCCATTTTATTAGATTGATAATCTTTAGTGCCATGTATCACAATCCATAATACCACCGTATTCTTATATGGAGTCCAATCTTGACCCGATCGGCTAGGTTATCTCATTTGAGACATCAACCATATCCATAATTTCAATCATCAATTCCAGCACAATTATCACCATGTGTGCGACATGACATCCGATCACTGCCCGATCGGCTAGGCCATCTCACTTGAGACATCTTCCTTTCAATCGATCACCTCACTTCACATTTTTCCCATATTTCAATACATTGGCACGGGTGGCCTCATTTATAAGTCGTTTTTGGCCCTTGGCGATATTTTACAATTCAAGTTTCCTTTTTTTACACATTCAGTAATACTATCATCAGCAACAATAAGGCCTATCATGTAAAGCATTTGTACACATAAGGGGAAGACTTGGAAAACCATAAGCACATAGAGGTCTTTCATACAAATTGGCATAACAATCTTTATTTGATTTTTGACATAAAGCCTTAACCTTTCTCAACACATATTTCATATTTTTAAACACATCCTCAAATAACATGATGACATGATAAACATTTAGAGCAACTAATGAATAGAATATTTCAACACAACACATTAGGGTAATCAATTCTAGTACGATTAATTTAGAGACTTACACCAATTACACGGACACTAGGGTTCGATTTAAGAAGAAGAGGGCTTAGCCATACATACCTGAATTCAGCCTTTTAGTGTTATTAAAACCCCTCACTACTCTTACAACTTCAATCTACATCAACATAATTCAGTTGGACCAATATTAGTAAAAATTTCCAAGTTTTTGATCATTTTGGCATTTTATCAAACACCTAAAGTGTATAGCATTTTACTACCTCTAGTAATGGTGTTCCTTCATCCAACAATCCTTCCTTCCCACCAACAATATATAATACAACATCCTCTGACTACTAATTGCCTTCTTTAGCACCATTATAATCAACAATGAGGTCACATCCATAAAATTTCATTAATTAACTCATTACAAAATCTCTACAACACCCAATAATCTATTTTAAGTATTTATGGCTTCCAATCACCATCTCATAAGTGATAGTACTTATTTCTTGCTCATATATTCACTAACAATCCATACATGTAGGTTTAAGGGTAGAAGATTACCCCTTGTAGATCAAATCTTGAAAGTCAAATTTTGGGGTGTTCTTGAGATTTTGAAGAAATCCTATGGAATCCAATCGAAACCTTGTTGTAACTAGTGATTGAGAAGTGAAATCATCATAAAAACTCACCTTTAGTGTGTATTGGAAGCCTTGGCCGGATGGGTGATGGAGAGAGAAGCCCTCGTCTTGAAATTCTTTTATTTTTCTCTCTCCCCGCTCTGGTATTAATAGGCCTAGGTACAGTATTTTTCAACTGGTGATATCCATGTGCTACAAGGCTTTAGCTCACCGGTTTGCTAAAATCAGGTACAATATTTTTCAACTGGTGCTATCGCTGTGCTATAAGACTTTAGCTCACTGCTTTGCTAAACTTCTCAGCTTCCCTCATGTGCTATGAGGAGATAGCTCACTGTATTTTCTTTAGTTTTATTGCTTTGGAATTAACATCCAAGTGTTTCCGGATTATTACAACACTCAAGATTAATAAAATAATTATCCCCAAGTATCCAAATAACTTTATCCACTCTAGTAATTCTCACGTGGTTCGGGTCTAATTTAAAGTATATTCATAAGCTTGAAATTGCTCAAATTAGCAATAGAAATTCACAGGACCTTACACGTTGGCCTACCTCGGCACCACAAACCTCGAGTTCTTGGAAATTTTTTACGGGGCCTTACAGATGTACAATGGATAATTAGCAACACACAGCTTGATTTTATCAAGAAATTCATATTCAAGTCGAGTAATGGAATAAATAGCAGCAAATACCTCTTTTTGGCTCAATGCATCGGCAACTTGGTTGTGTTTTCCCGGCTTGTGCTCCCAAATAAAATCATAGTCTGCCAAGAATTCTTGCCAATGTGCCTGCTTCGGACTTAGCTTTTTCTCTGTCTTGAAAAATGTATTAGCCATATTATTCGTCCTCGCAACGAATTTAGTTCCCGGCAAATACACCCACCAAATCTGCAAGCAATGGATCACAACAACCATTTTTTTTCATGAGCTGAGTATCTTTGCTCTGCTTCATTTAATCTGCTCTCAAATGCCACTGGGTGGCCTTCTTGTACCAATACACCTCCAACAGACTTATCGGAAGCATCAGTATGAACTTTAAAGGGCAGTTTAAAATCAGGAAGCTACAAGATAGGTTCTAAGGCAATAACTTCTTTCAGAATGTCAAACGCACCACTAAATTTTTCAGACCACGCCTACCTACCATTCTTCTTCAACAAATCAGTCAAAGTAACAACTTTCTTTGAATAACCAGCAATGAATTTCCGATAATAATTTGCTAACCCAAGGAAAGATCGCAACTCTTTCACAGAATTAGGTGTCTGCCACTCCATAATGACCTGCACCTTTTTTGGGTCTATCCGCACTTGATTTTGGCTCACCAAGTGTCCAAGAAATTTGATCTCTTATTTAGCAAACTCACACTTCCATTTTTACATAAAGCTGGTACTCCCTCAAAAGAGACAACACCTTAATCAAGTATGACATATGTTTATCCAAGGTCTGACTATAGACGATAATGTCGTCTAAATAGACAACGACAAAGTCATCCAAATATTCATGCAACACATCATGCATCAGGTTGCAAAAAGTAGCAGGGGCATTTGTCAACCCGAACGGTATAACAAGGAATTCATATGAGCCATACCTCGTACCACATGTAGTTTTAGACTCATCACCTTCAGCTATCCGTACCTGCCAACAACCAGACCTTAAGTTAAGCTTTGTTAACCAACAAGCCTTGCTCAATCTGTCCATCAAGTCTTGCACCAACGGAACTAGATATTTATTTTTCACAGTCACTTTATTCAACACCAGATGATCAACACATATCCAAAGCGTCCCATCATGTTTCTTTTGAAATAAAATAGGTGCACCAAATGGAGCTTTTGATGGCTGAATCAGTCCCACATCAAGCAACTCATTCAATTATTTCTGTAATTCAGTCAACTCTTTTGGCGCCATCCGATAAGGAGGTTGAGCAGGAGGCATTGAACCCGACAACAACTCTATCTTGTGATCAATAGCCCTTCGTGGTGGAAAATTCTTAGGAAATTCTGGTGGAATCACATCAACAAAGTCACTCAATATTTGAGCGACACAGCCCGACACTTTAACATTTACATCGAGCTTCACCACAACCATAGCAGCAAGGAAAGTATCATATCCATTTTCAGACCTTTTTCGACCATCAGGCAGAAACTAATGAAGCCCTACGTTGAGTTTCTTCTTTCCCATAAGGATGGATAACTTTCACAAAATCAGGAGTCATTTCATGCATAATCATTACTCCATCCAAGTGAGGCATTGGAACAAAGCGATTTTTCCACATAAAGTCGACTCTAAGGATCACCTCAAAGTCCTCTAGTGGAATCACCATCAACTTAACCTTTCCCTTCCAGTTCCCAACAGACATAGGAACATTATAAGCTATACCCACAATGGCTTGGGCTTTCGCATTCACAATCTTCATGTAAGAGGGACACTTGCTCACATTCAACCCATACTTCTACACCAATTTCGTCAAGACAAAGATGTGAGTAGCTCTAGTATCTACCATTGCTATCACACCCTTCTCTCCAATTTTTATTTCAATGTGCATCAGTAAAGAGTGAGGGTTGGTCTTGTCACTTGTAGCATTAAGTAACGAAATAACATTCAACAGTTGCAAAGGATTCACCAAGGCAGCGACTTCTTTACCTTCTACTTCCCGATTATTTTCTGTAGCAAGCAAAGCATTAACTCGTTCTCGATTTGGGTAGTTTTTTGCAATATGAGGTCCGCCGCAAGTCCAGCAACCATCGCCCTTTTTTGTTGGCATTGCCCTTGTTTCTAGCAAATCCGTTAAAAACAGCCTTGTCCTTTTCTACAATTTCTTTTCGAACTTCTTTCTTCCATTTCCCCTTCTTCTATACCTTTTTCTTAGGTTTCGAAGAAGAATAACTTCATAAATACTTTGATTAGTGTGGTAATCTTCCAAGGAATATGCTACAGCAACGACACTTAGGAGGTCCTTCACGTTCTGCCTCCTAAGTTCATTCTGCGCCCACGCTTGCATTCTAGAAATAAAATTATATAACTTATCATCCTCTGACATGTTCTGGATATCCAGCATTAAGGAAGTCAATTCCTTAATATAGTCACAAACTATTCCAGTTTGTCGTAGACGTTTCAAGCGATCCCTAGCAAACCAAGATGCGTTGCTAGGTAAGAACTGGTCCTTCATTTCTTTTTTGGAGTTTCTCCCATGTATCGATCTAGGGTCTGCCCGCACTTATATCGTCGTCCATGTGAGTTCTCCACTATAATTTTGCATGATCTACATGATCTTAGTAATTGGGGATGTCAACTACACTAGGCTAAAACAGTAGGTTGTGTGGGACAAATGTCTAAGCCTAAGTGCGACAAGTGTAAGGCAAAGGGGCTGTCTCATGTGTTATAAATGGGCAACACCCTTATGCTTGTGGAAAAAAAGAGAAAAACATGTGGGAGCACATTTAAGAGTTAGAAAAGAGTCTTAAGTCTGTTTTCAAGAGTGAAAACGCCTAAGGTCAAGAGTGATCTTTTGTACACGGTTGCACTTTGAGTTTGAGCTTCTTTGTATGCTCGAGTTAAATACAAAGTTGGAAAAAGAGTTTCCTGTATATTATGCCTTGTGTTCTTGTTTATTTATGTTGCCTTTACTTAAATTTCGTAGCCTAAATCAGTTCTAAAACTTACTACGTTGAAGCTCCTTAAAAATATTCTAAGTCCAAAGTTGCTGTAATTTAGACTAAGTATTGTGAGAAGGTTGAAGTCAAGTACTCGGCTTGGCTACCGCACAGGCTGATTTTGGCGGATAGAAATCAGGTCCATGGGTTCTTTTTTTTTTTGGGTAGACGGGTGCGGAAATATTGAAATTGATTTTTCCTGTTCAAGAACAACAAGACGAAGGAAACACAAGATAAGAAAGACCATATATATATATATATGCATTCAGCTTGCTGACATTGTACAAGCACTAACAAACTGTAGTCACTATACTGAATACATTGAGGGGTCGTTTGGTAGGGTGTATAAGACTAATGCTAAATAAGGTATATTGGTGATGGTAATATTAGTTATGCTTTTTATGCTGCCATTAGTTATGCTGACATATTTCTTATCAATTGTTTGGTTTGATGTGTTAAAGTATTGTCCAATCTCTAAAAGAATTATTTATTTACAAAAACACCCTCATAACCAATCTAGTGGGCTTGGCTGCCGCACAGGCTGGTTTGGCCGCCGCACAGGCTGGTTTTGGCAGATAGAAATCAGATCTGTGGGNTATATATATATATATATATAACACTAACAAGCTGTAGTCACTATAATGAATACATTGAGGGGTCGTTTGGTAGGGTGTATAAGGCTAATGCTGAATAAGGTATATTGGTGATGGTAATATTAGTTATGCTGACATTAGTTATGCTGACATATTTCTTATCCATTGTTTGGTTTGATGTATTAAAGTATTGTCCAATTTTTAAAAGAATTATTTATTTACAAAAACACCCTCATAACCAGTCCATCACTTTATCTTTTAAAAAGAAACATATGTTTAGGAATGTTTTTATATGAAAAGAATTTTAAAAAAATTATTTTATTTGTCTACTTATTAATCTAGTGTAGAACTAAATATTTATTTATAAAAAGAAAGTATGCTAAGTATTATTCATTTTCTAGGACTATAATTTTATTTTCCACTTTCTTGGATTATTTTAAACTTGAATTAATATAATAACATAATTTAATCAAGCATAACTTTTGAAGGACAATTTTATCTTTAACTAAGCTAATGCATGCATTAAAACCCATTGCATTGTTAATGCCATGTTTCCTATGCATGAGTTATGCATAGGATAATACCAAATAGGGTGTATAATTAATACTTGCATAACTAATACATATATTCAAAAGGTGTATTAAACAAGTTATTATTAATACACAAAGCTAATGCTTGTATTATTTTATCTAATGCATCCTACCAAACGACTCCCGAGAATATTAATAATATGGACTAAAAAGTATACGCAGAAAAATTAGAGAGCACTAATGTGCCTAATTGAAACATCTAGTGGGATAAACCAAGTAATTGAAGACATCTGGAACTCTATCTTCATGTCTTGATCGCAATAACAACGCATTTGGAAGCCTCTTCAAACTAATTAAACCATGAAAATTTATCTATTGAAATTATAGTATGACGTTTTTAGTGTCCTCGTTCCAATTAGTTGTTACTTTGGAAGACAATGAATATATTATTCAGTTGAAGGTAATTTTTCAAAGTTGAACTTAATAAGCTTTTTCTCAGGTCACAATGTCTAGCAAAAATTAGATATATTGGTTGTATTTTCAATCGAAAAATAATTAAAAAAAATTAATTATAAAAAAGTAATTAACAACTTTGGCTCAATAAGCTAAAAGAATAAATTTCAAACAAACATATATTATAATTTTTAAATAAGTTTAAAGTTTTTTATTAAGATTTAGCTTTACGCCATCAGTATTATTGATTAGTTGCCCTACATGCAGCATATATTTTTACTAAGAACACTGACTTGCACCTACAAAGCTTTGTCTTGCTACAGTAATTAAACCTATATTAAGTACTCTTTGAGATTTTAGCTGAGACAATTCTCTTAATATTATCACAGAAAAGAAAAAGACTAGCGTAGGCACTATTTAAAGCTGCATTTCATGATATTTATATGCCATCCGAAGTGTAAAAATTCTTAACTGCGCAGTTTAAACTTGTGATTGCGCTTAGTTACTATTTCTATCAGGTAGTAAATTAATGTTTATCATAAAAATTTATATATAATTATTTTATAATTGATTTAATTGTAATGATATTTTTATATATTAAATGTATAAAAGTTAAATTCTTGAAGGAAAAAAAATAGAAGTGGAAAACTAAATTATAAACTCAACAAATTGTTAGGGATGGTAAAATAAAAAGTGTTAGGGAGCTTCCCAAGAAGGATATTCATTCATTTCTTTTTCCTAAATTAATAAAAAGAAGTTAAAGACACATACCTCTAACAATTAACACATCAATAATAAGTAGTATTAAAATGAGACCAGCGTCCATTTAACTAGTATTAAAATCAGTAATATCATTTACAATGCACTAAATTACTTACGTTCGTTCTGTTAAAATACTTCCTACGGTAAAAATAAATTTTTATTTATTCATGCTCGATATTAATGTACCTTACATATATCAATGAATATATGATATATTTTTTCTCTACGAATAATCTTAATAATTACTAACTATTTTTAAACTAATATGTTCTCTCACCTCAATTATCACTTATTTACAGTAAACTTATGTTTTTTTAATGTAAATATCAAATGTACATAAGTATTTTCCTGGAAAAAAAAAGTGAACATGACGTGTCTGTGATTGGAGTTGCAATTATTAAGGTATTACATTACATATTCCTAGTATCCTTCTATTATTGTTGATATATACTTACTATTTTGGAAAACTTTAGTTAAATTCGGTAAAGATTCTTTGTCAAATAATCTTTTTGTTGTTTCTTCAGCCCAAAAGAGTACAAGTACAGTACACAAAAGTAGAAAGAAAAAAGAAAGAATTAAGAATAGAACATGACTCGTGTCAAAAGGAATGATCTTCAAATCCCTTTTTGGAAAATTTTACCAAATGATATAATGCATAATCCAAGCTGCACTTTGTATATATTTCCCATAGAATAGACAAAGAGTGATCTGTGAAAAGGCAGAAGAAGCTTTGACCAACTCTCTCCCACACCTACACCATTCCTCCGTTGAACAATTACCATTAAAATACATAAACAAAAAGCAAAGCTTTCTCCCAACTTTCTATTCTTTCAATTTTCAGGGGAATTGAAATAACCTTTTGTTGAATCTTTTCTCTATCAGAAGCTGACCCTTTGCTTCCATTTTAGTGCATTGACCTCACCTTTTTGGGATTAGGTTTTCTCGTTGAATGGTTTAAATGAGGAATCTTGATTTTTAGTTGTGGATGACCGGGAATCATGGATCAGTCGGTCTTGGTGATCTGGGTTTTTCTACGCTTAACTGGGCTGCTTTTGAACTTGTCACAGGTTGCCGGTAACGCTGAAGGTTTGTTCCTTTTTGAAGATTTTGGTGAATATGTGTGGAGTTAAAAAGATGTTTAACTTTCAGGCTCAAATTTGGTTTTGTTAGCTTAATTGAGTTGACTGTTCAATTGGGATTCCTCTTTACATAAAAAGTTGAACTGCAGCTTGTTGATATTATTCTATGAAGGATTTAAGTTATATTTAAGCAGGTTGCTACTAGCTTTTCCAGGTTACCCATTGAGGCTTATTATAGATGTTACCCGTAGTTGGTTTCTAAGTAATTTATTGCACTGTCAGTGTATACATATTAAACACATTTATGGATTCGCCGTGCTCTTGCAAGAGACAATCTTAGCACCAAATATTTGGTTTGGTTATGAACTATATGGACCCCAAAAAATGTCCCAGGGTCCGGGGGG